TAATGTTCTGTCAATGCCGGACTGTGTCATAATGTTCTGTCAATGCCGAACTGTGTCATAATGTTCTGTCAATGCCGGACTGTGTCATAATGTTCTGTCAATGCCGAACTGTGTCATAATGTTCTGTCAATGCCGGACCATGACCAATATGTTAGCAGAGGTGAATGCAAGTAAACCAGAAGGCAACAGGTCTACATGATCATAAACTACAAAAAGTGATATTTGCCTCGATGTCTCAGAGAGAGAGATAAAGATATAGATATTTTTAAAACTCCACACACACACATATAAAACAGGCACGGTCAACAAAAGGAAATCCAGACAATATCAGTTTGACAAGTTTGTAGCCTACACTTGAAACGTTCATTTCTGTTCAGCTATTGGTTTATCCTTAATAGTTTCCTTTAGTTTTAGTAGAGGTTTTACGGCGCTCGCAACTGCATTAGGTCATATGAGCGCCAGAAGATTAGAGGGGTTACAAGAGAGTAACAAAAATATAAAAAAGAAGAAGGGGAGATAAGGACGATAGATGTTTCATAGGAAAGAAGAAGCAAACCACACCAGAGCACCCGCCAACCACCCACTTTATCGTTAATGTACTGTTTCCCACGAAACAAACAAAAATAACCAACAAACATTCCAACAGTAAGACAGAATAAACTGACGGGAAAACTAAAATATCTGACAAACCAACAGTCAGAAGGAAATACATAAACCAACAGTTGAACAAAAAGGACATTTTGAGACTAACAAGATTTTTATCATTAATTTTTGACAAGATTTCCACTTTGTGGTCGCGCCCCCTCTCCCTCTATACTCAATGGACGCTCCTGGCAGAATAAACACAGGAGCAACACGCTCACAGAGCACAGGAGCAACACGCTCACCACGAGAACAAACACAGAGCACAGGAGCAACACGCTCACCACGAGAACAAACACAGAGCACAGGAGCAACACGCTCACCACGAGAACAAACACAGAGCACAGGAGCAACACGCTCACCACGAGAACAAACACAGAGCACAGGAGCAACACGCTCACCACGAGAACAAACACAGAGCACAGGAGCAACACGCTCACAGAGCACAGGAGCAACACGCTCAACACGAGACAAACACAGAGCAAACTTCCTCTGATATGTGTAAAAACAACAAGCGCAGCAGACAAGCACAGCAGCCTACTTCGCAGCGACACAACCTTTACTCAAGTCCCGACACAAAAATCCACGCGGTGCACACATAAGAAATGGTAAAACATTATTCTGACTCATCAAACTTCAATAAATTTGGATTGTTTCAGACTCCCAAAGTGTCTGGTGGGAACATAGCACGCTGGTCTGAACCTGAGGTAGGAACATTGCACAAACTTCACGCACAGGACTCTCAGACTTTCCACGTGATTGTCATGGCATTTGATCAACTGGGCAGTACAGAACTACAAAAACAAAAAGCACACAGTCTCCAGATTTTTTCTGTCATTGTAGATAAGTAAACGTAAAAAAAAAAAATGTGAGGCAGCGTGGTGAAATCAAGAGCTCGTCAAAAAAATGAAAGTGAAGTCCGGACATTTTTCTAAAGGTTTGGGAATTTTTATCGAATTTTCGTTTTTTTGCTCCACACCTTTAAAGCCCTTTATAAACAGATTTCTGTGCGGATTTTCCTGAAAAAACGATTAAATGCATAAAAGATGTTAAATTTCAGTTTCCACGCACTCTCAAGCTAAGGAAATAACTAAACATTGGTGGCCATATTCTCGCTAATTTTACCTCTGAGACCAGGCAGCCCCATCTTCTTCATTAAGACCTTGACTTGTATCCAAGATAAACAGATATTTTTCCAGCGAAAGCAAGGCAAATGGCCAGGCTTTATGACGATACCAATAACTCCATATGCCAAAATATTGACGAGTGCCTGATTCCACCGCGACGTGACAGAAATATTCTAGATCTAGTATGATGTTATTTATCGTTAGCAACTACACTTGTGCCAAACAACAAAGTATTTGGTGCAGTAGTTCAACAATCACACAAAGGAAAACTCATCCCCGACAAAAATAACATCAGCCTTACGTTGCTTTTGGTTTCTTAAAACCCTAAAAAACAAAAGTAAAACTTGAATAAATTAAAATGGAGAAGAACGTAGGGGCTGACACGGTCACGGGGGTACATGCATGGTAGGTAGAAACTGGTGGAGATAACATCAACGTTTCCCCAAAGTGTGACAGTCACTGGGGGGGGGGGGGGAGGGGAGGGAGGAAAGGGAGAAGGGGGGAGGAGGTAGGGAGGGGAGAGAGGGAGGGTAGGGAGGGTGGGGAGAGGATGGAGGGACCCGCGACACTGCCCCTACAGTCCACCCTATACCAACTGCCAACTGTCAACTGCCAACTGTCCAAGACAATCAGCAGGACAAAGGACAACTTCCCATTTCCTGCCTTCCATTGTGTGTACTATGACGACACTGTTTGAGACATCCACCTCAACAACGGGTGCGGCTGTCTCGGACAATTTGGACAGCTAGCGTCGAGCACATTGTTGGGACAGACGTGTGCACATTTCTGGTCACGACGAGTCAGCGATGTGGTGTGTGTGTGTGTGGAGAGGAAATCTAAGAAACATCAGTCCAATGTGTGGTCAGAGACAACTAAACCGGACCGACTCACGGCCAGAACTTCCGTGAGTTGAGAGGAAGGCAACCGGAACAGGAAACAATATCATTTCTTTCAACTGATCCTACTCCCACACAGTTGTTATATAATAATGTTTTCATACAGTTTTACGGCACTTGCAACACAATAAGGTCATATAAGTGCCGAAGATTAGAGGTGTTACAAGAGAGTAACAAACACAAAAAAGAAGGAGGGGAGATAAAGACAATAGATGTTTGATAGGAAAGAAGGAGTAGACCACACCAAAACACCCGCCAACCACCCACTGACACAGTTGACCACAGCTGTCTGCCTCTGTGTTTTAGGAGTAATGTTAATATAGCAATAACAACGATAGATTGACTGTCAAATAGTCAATAATAAATATCACACAATATCATTAAACATCAGTAATTTACAAGGTTTTTTTTTTCCAGGCAGACGATGAATGAATACATTTCTCACTCTCTCTCTCTTCTTTCTCTCCCCCCTTGCCCCCACATACACAGCCACTAACACGTTCCTCCATTCATCCACACAGACGCGAGCCATGGCTCAACGCGCTGGGCTACGAGGAGAAGAAAAAGTTGAGAGCTCGGTTCACGTCGTAGTCCGCCGCCAGAGCGATACGGGTCAACTCCTCCCTCGGCACCGTCTCCCCCACGATGTCGGCCAGCTCCCGAATACACGTCTCTAGCCGGGCGGCGTCTTCAACGAACGGGAGGTCGTCCGAGGAGCTGGACGTGGACAGATCCAGGCCCTGGTCACAGGGGAGTAAAGGTCACATGACAAATGGGGGAATATAGGTCACATGACAAATGGGGGAATATAGGTCACATGACAAATGGGGGAATATAGGTCACATGACAAACGGGGAAAAGAAAAGTGAGGATAGTTTAAACGGGAGGAAACTGTGACTCAAGCCCCGGTTACACGTAACGATAAACTGTACAAAAACTGGACGATCTATCATTCAGGAGACAAATCGTCAGGTGTAACCACAAATTTGTTAAAAGTTTGGACGATGGCTTGGAGACTCGGTCGAGAAATCAAGCGCTGCCTGATATTTTCCGTGCGATCACGGTCAGATTTGAGGGAGACGCGCTGTGACGTAGAATCACTTTAAATTTGCCGCTGCGCTGGATTAAACTTAGGGCTCAAAATTTTTTAAAATAATTATCGCAGGTAAAAACTGATTTCATATCCGGAATCAGCATCTCAAAATAAGCAAAGTTGATTGAGGAGAACCTGATTCGATGCGTTATTTTGTAAATTTTAGCAACTTTATTAGTTGATCGTCAATGGTGAAGTTGTATATCAAGGTCAGGCGGTGCGTTGCACATCTGCAGTCAAGTCAATGTCTAGGAATCTCCCTGATCAAAAGAAAACTGAATGATAGACAGGAATGTCCAAACAGACTACACAGCTCGATAAAACGCGCCCGCGCTCCTATGTCCTTTCCCACAACCCTCGCTGGATCAACATCAAAACACGACGGCACTTTTAGTTCACCCCTTAAGTTGCAGGTAAAGCCATGGCAAGTATCATTTGCTTAACACTGATCAAAATTGTGTTTCATATTTAGTTTAAAGGAGGTAGTTTTTGTGTGAAAAATCCAATGTTCGAGTCTTTCACTTTCACTTTGGACTTTAAAATGTGGCACGCAGGACCAAACACCAGAGCTGGCAGTCCCTCAGAAGAACTTTGCTCACCACACCAGAACACCCGCCAACCACCCACTCAGACAAACCACTCTCACCACCCACTCACCTGCTCCCTCGTGATGTCAATGTTGGCCACCATCTCGTCCACTTCACTCAGACTGGACAGTGAGCTGCGTGTCTCCAGGGGCGCACCCCGACCGCTGTGACTGCGACACTCCAACCTACGGCAGCAAAAATAACTTTGTACAAACTCTGTGTAGATCACAAACTGTACCCACCCCTACAACAATTTTATACAAACTCTGTGTAGATCACAAACTGTACCCACCCCTACAACAATTTTGTACAAACTCTGTGTAGATCACAAACTGTACCCACCACAGTAACAATCAACGGGGAAATTACAACAATTTTCTACAACTCTGCGTAAAAACTACAACCATTTTATTAATTTACATAAACTCTGGTTAAATGAGAAACTGCACTTTTGACATCAAGATTAAACAGGAAAAACAACAGCAATTTTCTACAAACTCTGTGGAAATCACTCTGGGGAGATCAGAAACTGCACTTTTGAAATCAAGATTAAACAATAAAAGACAACTACAATTTTATACAAACTTTGTGAAGATCATAAACTGCACTTTCAACAAAACCAAACTTTATGTGCGGTGCATTCATAACATCCAAT